ATGACATATAAAAGCATCCTTAGGTGGAAAAACTGCAGAATAATGATCTTACTTCTGGCAGAAGAGCTGTCCGCAGTTCCTACAATGGTGGCGTCGCTCAGTAAGCGAGAAGCGAACCGTGCAGCCGGAGCAGCTGTCCACCACCTCGTCCTTCACCCAGTGGTCTGCTGCCGAACGGCCGGGCTGGTCGCTGACCGACCAGCTAAACACTCTGCCACGGCCGTCACCTACCAGGATTTTACTGTGGTCCCTGGAGAGAGGAACGCCCAAAGCGGGAAAGAAGAAAGAGAAGAACAAAACAATTACATATCTTATTTTCAAAAATATTTGCTTGGACTGAATAATATATTTTCAAAACAAGACGTTCTTCAGATGTGTGTTTACAAAAAGAAACTCATTTCCTGTTTGGCGGTTTGGTTCGACCCGGCTCTCTTACTTGGAGATGGCGAGGGAGGTGATCTCGGCTGGGTGAGCGTTGTCCTTGCGATCAAAAGCCGTGTGCATGGTGAGCTTACTCCGGAAGACCAGCTGGCGCTCCCATCTGTAGCCTGTGAACGCACAAAAACAAACACTTAACTTATCTATTTGTCGTCTCCCCTTCAATGGCAGAATAATCACTTAGAACATGAACACAGCATGGTTTTTACAGCTGCTGGACACCCACCTGCCCTGAGCTGGTTATATGTCCGCGCCTCCATAGTGGAGGGATGCAGCGGCTGAGGCACTGAGCCCTGGCCTGAGTGAGCTGGGTGAGCGCCTTTAGTTTGGCCCTCGGAGTAATTCACAAACACGAATCCGTCCTTCTCATCGATGCTGAGAGTGTCTGACCAGCGGTGAGAATCGTCAGAGCCGCTGTCCATCGACCACGATGCTCCTGCTCGGGCCGAGGGACCTTAAGGGTTTTAATCAATGGAAAATTAGCAGGAACAATATCTTATATCAAACAAAGGTTCTTATATTAACAAGTAAAAACAAACATCAGTGTTGGTAATCTACATTGCTCTATTTCTATGACCAGAGATTCTGGATTCGATGTTTCTGCTGATCTGACGCTCTTCAGGAAGTGAGCATCAGAGCGCAGCAGCTAATGAGAGCAACCACAGGGCAGCTGACACAGACATAAACAAGGGAACATTTTATACTAAAGCCAAAATCAAAGCTGACACCGATGATAAGATTTTAGTTTTTTGCTCTTGCCTGACAACAGAAACCGAGATATCTGAATGTCCTCATTGACTGATTTCAGTCTGACTGACATAGACAACGGAGGGCAAAACGCTGCTACGCCTTTAACAATAGTGCGAGCTGTTCACTCCAGTAGCAAACAAGTGAACAATTGCTGTGCTTTGCTTACACGTAAGATCATTTTAGTGTTAGTTCTGGATCTGAATGTGCGCTCATTCAGATTTCACCACAGCTGATCTGTGCTCAGGGAGCTTTGTTCACCAGCTGGGAGCTGTACTAATCCAGCTTTCACTCTTCCTCATCTACAGAGATGTGAAGACCTTTCTCATGTTTTGGGGCCATGCACAGCTGGTCCTTCCATCTAAAAACCAGAA